CGTATGAACAGGGCCTGTGTTGATCAGACATAAACTGAACACCCGGTCTGTTCATCTCTGAATGGGGAAGGGCTGTGGCTCAGTGGTAGAGCATCAGCTTGGCATGCAGAAGGTTCTAGGTTCAATCCTCAGCATCTCCAGTTGAAAGATCTGGTGATGTGATAGGCCTCAGTCTGAGACCCTGGAGAGCTGCTGCCAGTCTGAGCAGACAGTATTGACATTGATGGACCAAGGGTCTGTTTCAGTATACGGCAGCTTCCTGTGTTCATGTGAATTTTACATCCACTTTGCATATAGTGGTGGTAGTCACTATTTCCAATATGGAAGCTCCCACTCCCCTTTAGATGGGTCATTTTCACTGGTGGCTTTAACGAGCAATCTGCTCCTAATAGATTTATATGATTTATGACAGTCTATTTAAACATTTGCATGCCAAATGGGACAGAGGTGGAAGGGAAAGGGATAAATTCCACTGAGCAGCATGATAACATGCTTGTACAATAATCCAATAGTGTTGCATTGTATTTTTAGGAACAGTAGAAGCAGCCTGCCAAACAGCCATAAACAGGTCAACGAACAGACAAATGGTCCATCAAAAAATTGGCTCTGTTCACAAGCCATTAACAGCACATGAGCTGAATTGGTGGATGTTTGTGCATCCCTCATTAAAATGTGACTCTCCCCGTCTACAGTTATGAAATTGTACAGCCCAGTCTATCTCCTCAGAAGTTTACCACCACCATTTGCCACACGTGTAGAACATCTGAAAATTATGGTCTGTCCCCAAACAGGATTAAAAATAAGGGATTTTGTGCCAGGTAGCTTGACTTGCTGGAGACCTTGGCCTCTAGCATCTGTCACAAGCTGAACTGTTATGCAAATACACTGTGAAATTTAAATTAAATTACAAATGGTTTGGCTCCTCTTGATACTTCATTGGAGGAGGAGGAGAGTGTCAGGTAGCCCTGTCATAGGTCTGGAATGTGGAGGGGTGCACTCCCATTTTTTGTCTCAGCTCTCCCTGGCTCACCAACTGTTTGCTGTCTTATGCTTGACCTTGTAGATGCTCCAGCTGCAGTTTTACTCAACTGGGAAAGTTAATGTCTTTAGCTTCGCCTGCTTGCTTTGCCCGTGCGAGATGTATCCATTGGCTCATGCTTACCGGGGGGATGTTTGATTCTACTATAAGTCAGAGGCCCTTGTATTGGCGGCCATTCCTAACACAAGCTGTACACGTATCTCTAGTACTGGATTTACCAATAAACAGTTATCTTCTTATGAAGCCCTGTGTTGAGTAACCTAAGGACCCTGACAAAGAGTTGGTTTTATACCCCACCCTTCACTACCTGAAGGAATCTCAGAGGGGCTTACAATCACCTCCCCTTCCTCTCCCCACAACAGATACCCTGTGAGGTAGGTGGAGCTGAGAGAGTTCTGATAGAACTGGGACTGGCCCAAGGTCATCCAGATGGCTTCATGTGGAGGAGTGGGGAATCAAACCTGGTTCTCCAGATTAGTCTGCTGTTCTAAACCTCTACACCAAGCTGGCGAGAGAGATAATATTTAAACACTTTGATTTATGGATAGATGCTCATTGCTGCCATTTGTTGAAAGCACAAGGCCAATGTATAGGAAATGAGAGAGAAGAAAGCTATAACCTCATTAAAAATCGAAAACAGTGCTTCGCTGTACAGGCTACTGTTCAGCATTAGAGAGGTAAATGGTTTGCTAACACCAGTTCCCAAACACATTTAGGTGGGAGGAAGCTCAAATTGATTTCACTGAAGATTATGCTCTACTGAGGTATACTTAATTAGGAAATCATCATGTATTGAGGGTGTACTGAGATAGCTGGAAATAGTTACCATCAATATGCACTTGTTATGGGGTGATTTAACATGGAAAAGAGCAATAATTGTGGCTAATAATTGCTTTGCTGCCAAGGTACGTTGTACAAAAAAAAATCTCTGTTTGCTATATGATAAGAGTTTGGTCTTCAAAAATCTTCAGATTATTTGTAATACTGTACAGCGGTGTTTAACTATTATATACGTGAAGCAAGGAAAAAAGGTACTACTTCAAACTTTCCCGATGGGCACATACTTAACAAAAATATGTTAGAAGCTTAAATTGACGTGGGAAAATAAAACTTGGCAGATTGGTTATGGTGACTCTTGCCATTCATTCCAGAGGAATAGCCATGTTAGACTGCTGTAATGGAGTTGGGGGCCTGAAAAAGTGTGTGTGTGTGTGTGTGTGAGAGAGTTTACAAGGTCACTTAGCCCCCCCATGCCATGGGCCCAATCAGGATCAGGCCCTCATTGCATTTTTTTAATGGTCAAAATCTTCTCTAAAATGGTGCTGGCAGCCACAGGCCAAACTTGTGGTTGCCATAACATCTGGTTTGGCCATAAGGCAGTTTCAATTAACATGATGCTTACCCAGCCCTCTTGCATATTGTGCCAGAGAATTGTTGAAGAGTGCTTTTCATGCTATTCGGCAGAATCTCTTCCAACTAGTCAACAGTGCGGGAAACTAGTTTTTCACAGATGATGAAAATCCACTTTGGGGTTTTGTTTACATAATTTCTGTTCAATCCCTAGTACAAGATTAGAAAAAAAGAGTGAAAAATACGATTGCAGGTTAAGGTAAGTGTAATGTTTGGCTGGCCCTCTTGGGCTATTTTGCCGACAGGTGGAAGCACCCCTCCACTAATCTTGTGTAATTCCTCCAGTGCACTGTGAGACTGCCACAACAATATGGGAGCAATGTGCCAAGTTGGCAGAGGGAGAAATCACAGTGGCCCTGATCAACTCAGTGGTTCAGTGAACCAGGCAAGGAACCTCTAGGGGGTAGAATCAGCATACTGAGCGTAATAAAACATCAGGTCTTTGTTCTTCTGGAGGGGGGGAGGGCAAGGGAGAGGGAATTTTGTCAGGTAGCTCTTTGCAGCCTTGAGCAAGAATTACCATCTATCCCAGCATCTTGACTAGTTTGCCGCACATTCCCAAAAGATTCGTGTTTGGTTTTCAGTGAAGATTCGGTCATATTTCAGTACTACATTCATTATATCTGAAAAATAAGCCCAGTTTATGTCTCCACCAGAACAGCATCTGCCTGAAACGATGGCTTAGGTATGTGCACTCCTACTCAAGGGGAAAAAAATGTTCTTTGAGGGTACAGATTGCCTGGTTTCAGAAAGTTTCACAAATAGTTGATGGAAGTATAGAAAGCAGTAAGAAAACTGGTGTGATAGGCCAACCAGTCCCCTATTTGCATTCAGTGATGATGTTACAATACCTGCAGAGCAGACCTGTATGGCCTTTCTTTTAAACGTTACCTGGATTCAAGCTCTCTGTTACTCTTGTTGTATGAGAGTCAGACCATTAAGTCACTGCAATGGCTTCTTAAATGGTGGCAAAGGTAACAAAGAAGGCAACAACTCATTTCTTTAGGGATAGTTTAATCTAAAATTGCTTGAACCTCATCCTTGGTTTAAAATACATCCTCACTGTTCTAGTTTAAGATCTAGATATTTAAAGTCGCTTCAATAAAGAAACTAAGGAGTGTGACCTTTTCTGTGACGGCACTGAGGCATTGGAATGGACTCTGCTGGTTTATTGCACACACATTTGCTGTTTGTCAAGAAATAGCTGTGTTTGAAGCCCTTTCATGGGCTGCAGCCGTGCTGCAGCTTATTTATTGCTGGTTTAGCACCTCAAAGTCACCATTCAGGCTTCTTGTTGTTATGTTTTTATGAGGGTATTTTCAGTAACCTGCCTCAAACATGGCAGAGGACCACTAGATAGTCTTTTCAAGTACTGAGCGGAACTTTACAAAAATGGAGGCCAAACACATCATGTTTCTATGATAAAGGTAGATAGAACCAGGGGATAACGAGATCTTCTGGAACAGTCTCAAAAATCACAAAAATCCATATAAACTGATGTTAGTTTTATACTAAGAATTAGAGGGATCATTTGTTTAATCCAGCATCTTCATGTCTTCTGGGCTAAATTGCTCTCTAATCGGTCCACACATGGGTCAGTAACAGACTTTGCATAGCAAACAGACCCGTAGCTACAGTGGGGCTTTTGCAGGCTCTGCCCCTTCTTAAACGCACAGCCCCATGAAACTTCCTCCTGTAAATGCTTTTTTCAAACATTAAAAAAAAGGTGTGTGCTCCTTTAAACAGAGTGGGGTGCTATAGATGACTAATTCACACACTGAGCAAGGGGGTTGGAGTAGGTGACCTCTAGGATCCCTTCTAAATCTGTGTCAAGAAACTGGTCCCCTTTAAGAGAGTTTTTCTGCCTAAGTGCTAGCTTTCTTGACTATAGAAGTCATCCTCCCCCCACCTGCTGGCTTGTTATCAGAATTGTTGCTTAGGCTGGCAGAAGTGAGGAACTTGCAGCAACTGAGAACTATCATCTAAAGTGGTTGACAGCTTGCAATTTGGAGATCTATCCTGGTAACAGCTTTCTATTGGCCAAATGGCTTTTCTTTCTGCACTGAGAACTTCAGCCCCACAAGCCACAAAATCCTGCCTACGGGTGTGATAGTAAGTGGTCTGGACAGCTTTCCTTCATACAGATCCAATCAGGCCAGGTCCAGCACTATCCATTTCAGCAATCTGAGGTGGTAAAACACGATGGTGCGGCTCGCAGTGGAAACTACAAGAAGAAGATGAACGCTGTAATCCAAGAACCTCTTGTTGACATTCTACTCTTTTCCAAATGCGAGAGAGCGTACAAAAAATGAAGCATCTTGCACGCCATCCAGAACAGTGCAGACCATTCTACTGACTCCGGATTCTAACCACTTATTGCCCTGCATGCATAGACCAGGATTTCTGTCAGCTGGGTGCTTCTCGCAAATACCCAGTGGCAGAGAGATTATTCACACAATTCTTCCCCCAGATCCTTTCAGTCTCTGGTTACAAACAGAACCCAGTGAAAGCAAAGAAATTCAAGCAAGGTAACAGGTGACTTGTAGGCAAAATAAATATTTTATTGGTCTAACAGCCCCCTTTAAAAAGAATATCAGCCCTTAGGTGTATTCCAAACACACATATAAATCTTTGGACATACTTTCCCCATACGATATTGCTGTTATAGGTTTACTAGTCATTAATACACATACAATCTTAAAATATTTTTATTAGCTGAAAACAAACAAAAAACCTTAAGGAATCCCAACGGCATTCCAATATTGTTATATTTCAACTATCTAGCGTCCTGTAGACAAAGACCACACATGTACTAAAACCCTGCCAACCTCCAATCTCATCTATTGCAAATCAATGGCACTTTGCCCTGGGCTCTAGTAAAACCTCAGGGAAAGTGTAGGGGAAATAAGAGCCAGGTTCCCCGTAATACCCCGTTCAAAGTGATCAATCCACTTCAAGTTATACACAACCACTCCTTTGTTTTAAAATAGTGTTTTAAAGAATTTTTAAAAGGAGGGAAAGACCTCTCCTCCTGGTATAGCTGAGAAGTCGTCCATTTATATATTAAAACATTTCTTAAACAATAAGGCACAACCCCAAGGAGGAAAAAGAGTATTGAAAGGAAGCAACACATTTAAATGGTTATCTATGGCACAGAGATAAGGCTTTTCAGTGTAAGCAATCTGTAGTAGCTTTTCTTTTCAGGTAAGTTCATTTCATTCTCAAAAACTCATTGTGAACAGCAGCTTCTCCCCAGAGAGAACAGCGATTTTTTTTCTACAACAGGTTATTTGTTTTGTTTCTGAAGTGGCACTAGATGACAGCAGTGAAATTTTTTATTGGTTGTCGTTTCAAGCTCTCAGAGTGAATCAGTTATTGCACAGTTAAATACCTCACAGAGGTCAGTGGGTTTTGTTAAAAAAAATAAAAGTAGATGGACAGTTCTAGGCTAATCAAAACCGGGGTGGGTCCAGAAACCTTCAAGTTTTATGAAGAACACAGCTCTACACAGAAATAAAAAAACCTGCACAAATGGACAGTAGGAAAACATACAAATAAATATTTAGGCTTGGAGGACAGCCAGAGTTCTTGTGATGATTCCTGGGCAGTAGTAAAGATGAGGACTATCACGACTGTGGCACGCGGACCCGAAGGGGGACACGATGCAGCACACAGGTGAAGAGTGTATGCCTCAGTCTTCTCTTTTGTCCTCCAGAGTACAGACAGACAACTCCATCCACACGTTCTACAGTGACCTCGGAACACGTGCCAACCTTTGCAGAGAGGGGGGGGGGAAAGATATTAAGTATACTTTAGGAGAAGTCAAAGTAAGCATGTTTGGATGAGTAAGCATGTTTAACATGATAAGGTGCCAGGAGAGCTACGACAGGATCTCCAATAAATGGAAATAGCAGCTGTGCAAGGCCCCCAGTTTGAAACGTGATTCAAAACTTAAGCGGAGTGCTTATAGCGACAGGAAACATCTTGCTTGTTTTGAAGGAACTCCAGCTGCTGTACTTCTGGGCACAAAGTGTTGATTACGACCGATAAAGCCCCACAGTCTGGGACTAGGGTAGCTCAAGGATTGCCTACTCCTTTATGAATGTGCCTGTGACAATTAAGTCCTTCTTCAGAAGCCCTGGCTGTGCACCCCCTTTCCAGTGACATCATCAGGGCTGGACACTGAGGTGACACTCCAGCCACCCTGTCTCATGAGAGGGGGGTCCCAAATGCAAGTTGAATCTACAGATGGCCAAGACATGCCCAGTGCACCTCCATCTTTATTCCTTCACTTCTTTCCCCAGTGCATTCTGGGAACTGTAGTTCCTAGAATGCCTGGCATTGATGAGGAAGATAGGGCAGCGGAATTTATTACACCCATAACCTAAAATTGCCTAACTACGCCACTCCTTCTTTGAAACTGTGTTACCAGAGCCTGGGCTTTTTTTGGCTGGCTCCTGGTCTTACATATTCTTAGCCCACAGTTACTCGCTTGGCACCAAATTTGTTAAATTTTAGGTTGTTTCTTTAAAAAAGGATCTGATTCTTTAAAAAACCAATCTGATTCACAACTACATGTACCACATTCTCTTTACCAATGAGCCAATGAGAAAGGACAACTTTTCACCCTCCATCTTTTTCATCAGTTGTGCTTGTGACTGACTCTCTAGAAGCAAGAGATATCGAGAAACAGAAACAAGCTTAATGGTATGATCACATGGGTTTGCCTCTTCCTGGGGTAGGGTTGGAAAATACCTGGAGACTTTGGGGGTGGATCCAGGAGAGGGCGGGGTTTGGGAAGGGGAGGGGCCTCAGCATGGTACAATGCCATAGAGTCCACCCTTCAAAGCATCCATTTTCTCCAGGGGAGCTAATTTCTGTCAGCTGGAGATCAGTTGTAAAAGCAGAAAATCTCCAGGCCACACCTGGAGGCTGGCAACCCTATTTGGTGGGTCTTAACTGAGCTGAAAGCTTTACAGTTCTGATTACAAGTGTCTTAAGAAAACACTTCCTACCTCTTCAGCTCAAGAAACAAAATAAGACAACCCTCTGGCTGATTTCGCACTAGAGCTGCCTCGCTGTTGCGCCGCCGTTTGCCCTGGTTCTATTGGTCAATTTCACACCTGAAGCCGCGCGGCTGATTTTGACCTGTGGCTTCGCCCGATTTCCCCCGCAGTTTCGTGATCCTGTTTTTTTGGGATCAACGAAACTGCGGAGGAAATCGGGCGAAGCCACAGGTCAAAATCAGCCACGCGGCTTCGGGTGTGAAATTGACGAATAGAACCGGGGCAAACGGCGGCGCAACAGCGAGGCATCTCTAGTGTGAAATCAGCCTCTGTGTGGTTGCTAAAAATGAAACCAACATTAATCGCAGTCTTGGTTTTGCTTTCACTTGCCTCCTGGGATGTAATAAGCATTTTAACTTGTCCCGCACGGCCAATCAAGTGAAATCACAACTTGATACTTCAGCTGGATTATTATACATACTTGTGGTTTTATCCCTGCCACATTTACAAATCAGTATAACACACATGTATTCTCTCACAATTCCTAAATAGTTACTTGAAGAAAATTAATTACAGCTGGCATCTATTCACTATTCTTATTTTTTTGAAACAGTGAATCTTAAAAATGGAAAATTATCCAGGGGACAGTACAGCACCAGAAAGTTTTCCACTCCACATCTGTGGGTGAGATGTCACCCCAGAGCATTCCTGTATCAGACAGGGTTGCCAGCTCCAGGTTGGGAAACTCCTGGAGATCTGGGGGGGCGGGGACTGGAGCTGGGGAGGGAGGGGTACCGGGGCAAACCTCAGTGGGGTACACTGCCATACGGTCCACCCTTTAAAGCAGCCTTCTTCTCCAGGGAAACTGATCTCTGTCGCCTGAAGTTGAGCAGTAATTCTGGGAGATCTCCAGGCCCCACCTGGACATGGGATCTCTAATGTCAGCAAACATCCCAAATAAATTGTATTTCATCATTCTGCCTAAGCAGCTTCGGGGGTGCTTCTGGATTGAAAGGTGCGGTAGAAACTGAATGATCAAACAAACAAGAATATTCTTCCGGGAATGTATGTTCTAGTATCAAAGGCAGGGGCTGTTTAAATTTAAACATGCTAAAATAAAAACAGACTATGGCTATGTTCCACTGCTTTGTTCTTTGCCCTGTCATTCTATATTTACAGTATTAGTCTTTTGGAAGTGATGATTTTGTGCAGTGCTTAATAATAACACTGTGGTTTTATGCTGTAGCTTTATTGCTGTGCCATGTTTTCAATGTTTGTTTGTTACTCAGGGTTTTTTGGTTTTTTTAAAAAAAACTACTCTGCAAGCTTTTTAGCTAAGAGTGTGACATACCAAAAAAGTAAATTAAACTGTAATTTAGACTGCAGGAAGCAACAGAAGAAGCTCTATATATTTGTGTTGCAGTGGAGGATTCTACGAAGTGGAGGAACAAAAGAAAATCCGGAGGTAACTAGAAGTTCAAAACGTATTTCTAATCCCTTTAAAAATATCTTCAAGTCTTTCTACCAAACTACACGTTGTGTTTAATGAACTGGGTCTGGGTTTCCTGGACCCCACTCACTTCTCCTGCTACCATACAGCAGAAGAAGAAGAGAAGAGATTGGATTTATACCCTGCCCGTCACTCCCTGAAGGAGTCTCAGAGCGTCTTACAATCTCCTTTCCCTTCCTCTCCCCACAACAGACACCCTTGTGAGGTAGGTGGGGCTGAGAGAGCCCTTTTAAGGACTGCTCTTGAGAGAACAGCTCTGAGAGAACTTGTAAATGCCCAGCAGCCGCATGTGAAGGAGTGGGGAATCAAAACTGGTTCTCCCAGATTAGTGTCTGTGCTTCTAACCACCACACCAAACTGGCTCTCCAGGGAAACTGGAAGCTACAGGGACTGGCATTTTAAAGGTCTGCAGGGGCCTGAATCAGGTCAGAGGGAGGAAGTGCTCCTCCTTCCTTCCCTTACTATTTTCCCCAGCTGAAAAGATCCAGCATGAGGGGGTTATTTGCCTTTTTTGTTTTTTAGATGTACATACTGCATAGGGAACTAGGACCCAACGTGTTAAAAAGTGTAACATAGTTTGGTTCTTTCTTTCAGTTAATACAGATTAAGAAGGACTGGAGAAGTTACCTGTGGTACCCACTCATGGCTGTGTTTCTGGCTTAGTGCTTCCTCTGTTCGGGGAAGAGACCGCTGCTAACAGGCCACTCACAATTTCCCGTCTGATTTCGCCAACAATAGATTCTTTGATCTAGAACAAGATCACATTTTGGTTCGCCTATGTTAGGCAAGGTAGTATTTTATTTAGCTATTTCTTTAGATACAAATTTATACACCCCACCGCCAAAGATTAGCAGCGGGTAAATCAAAAACACAAACGAACAAAAAATCAGCAAAAAAGTGTGATGACAGCTAATTTGATAAACTCGCCCCAACCTCCATTTCTCACAGCCTAAATGTACATAATACAGTTCCATACTCTATATGGCACGCAGAACAAGACAATAACGATTTGGAGTAGCATAATAGCGATGCGCATTTTAAAATATAAGATGTATATCTACATTGCACTCCTTGTTAAAGAACTTGCTCTTCTCAACAGATCCATGTAAAGTAGAATTCAAAGTCACCATTACAGATTTCTTGCACTAGCAAGTAGTGCTGGGCATTACAGAGCTTTGAAATTATTATTCACCCCTGTGCTAGCTTATCCCCACCCCGGTGGCTCCCTTTGGATGCACGTCTTAAAACACGGAAGCCACTTCAATGTAAAAAACAACTTAACAGGCCAGAGGGACACATGTGACCAGAAAGACTCTTCTGAATAGGGCTGCTTTTGGTTTTATCCCCCCCCCCCAATAATGCATCAGACCGTTTGTAGCTTTTCAGGCGCACTATATGCATCAGACCGTTTGTAGCTTTTCAGGTGCACTATTGGGGTGGTGTGTGCGCATTAAGCTATGCGAGAAAGCAACACTTGTTACTACAGAGTAGTTTTGGATGCCAAAACAGAGAGCATTCTCTGTTCAGGCCCATCTTTTCTAGGTCTTGCAAATGCCCTGACCTGGATAGCCCAGGCAAGCCCGATCTTATCAGATCTCGGAAGCTAAGCAGGGCCGACTCTGGCAAGTCGGGAGGCAGGGGCAGGCTTTATTCAGCCACCTCTCTGAATATCCTCCAGGCCCCCAGTAGGGGTCAGTCACCAGAGGTCAGCGTGACTTCCAGGTGCACAACCATGCACAAACACATGAACATATGAAAAATACAAACAAACCCCCCAAAATAAAGGGCCTTGCAAAGAGTGGATGGAAGGAGTTGATGGCCCATTTATCCTTCCCTACCATGGTCCTTTCTGATCCTTCCCTTGCCCTGGGGCACAAAGGCAGCGGCGGCGGATAATCTGCTGCCAAACAGGTCTTCCCGGTATAGTGGAAAGCCAACCGTGTTGACTGCCTACCACTACTTTCCTTTGAGCCAGAAACCCAAGGGCAGTAGTGCCACACATGATAGGGTGGATACTACCCCCATCCTACTACTCCATTGAGCAAAGTTTGAGGCCTTCCTCCAGTCGAGGGGGGCTTTGATATGGGGACAAGGCAACAGAATGTTCCATGCTTGCCCTGTCAGGGAGGTAGTGGGGGGGATCCAACCATTTCCTAAGGAGCCTTCCTCCCACTTATGGGGCTCTTCTGTTGGATGAAGCACCACTTACATTGGAGGAAGGCTCCTTAGAGGATGGTTGGTTCCACTCACTGCTTCCACATTAGGGTGAGTATGCAACACTCTATGGCCTTTCCCCCATATTAAATATCCTTCAGGAATATACTTTCGGATTATAAAACCACTAAAATATAGTAGACCAGCTGGCAAGCCTGATACCTTCTAGGACCAGTAGGACAGGAAACCCCTATGTACAACGTCGGATGAGCACCACCCAGAGTTGGCTCACCACCTAAATAACCGAAGTGGCTACTTGGGGCACACCAACTGGGCCAAGATGGTTGCCTTGAAGGTCACCAGTGAAGTGGCTCCAGCGGCATGGGAGGTGGTGGCAAAATACCTTGAACCACCCTTGAGGCAACTAGAAGAGAAGAAGAAGAGATTGGATTTATACCCCGCCCTTCACTTCTCCATCTCTGACTGCAAATGATATAATCAATCTGATCTCGGTGTTGTCCATCTGGTGATGTCCATGTGTAGAGTTGCCTCTTAGGTTGTTTGGAAGAGTGTGTTCGCTATGACCAGTATGTTCTCTTGACAAAAGAGCTGGACTCAACTGTGTGACTGAACAACAACTTTCACTATCCAAAGGTGTCTCAGAGCGGCTTACAATCGCCTTTCCTCTCCCCTCTGCACAACAGATACCCTGTGAGGTAGGTGGGGCCAACAGAGCTCTCTCAAGAACTGCCCTTGAGAGAACAGCTCTGAAAAAACTTATGACTGACCCAAGGTCACACCAGCAGCTGCATTTCGAACGAATCAAACCCAGTTCTCCCAGATTAGAGTCCATGCTCCTAACCACTACACCAAACTGACTCTCTAGTCCTAGTTTCTCTCTGTCCTCAGGCACATGTCAGTGGTTCAAGCTGCCCAGTGTGGCTACTTACATATATAGCTGTGGCCTCCTGTTTGCTGCTACCTGGGTGAGAGAGAACGCACCTGGACCTATCGTAGCACTTGTGCAGTTTGTGCTGCTGCTATTCCCCCTCCCCCCAGGTAAGCAGCAAAATTACAAGCTATGAATACATCTAATGATGGAAACAAACACGGCATTCCAAAACAAACCAATGATGGCTCTCTAAATTAACAGAGTGAATGGATGGGGGGACACAAGAGGATGGATTCATCTTTGTGGAAAGAAGCAGGCTTAGGAACAGGCAACGTATGCGCTATTCCTGACTTTGCTACAGCCAGACTTCCTGTGTGACCTTGGCAGGATGCCCTCTAGATCCAAAATTTGCTCACTGTTACGAGCAACACTTGTGCACTTTTTCAGAGGCGTCAAGCGGCTCTATTAAATAATGTTTGCTAAGGATTTGATTTCTCCTCTGAATGGCTGCACTGAAGAAAGAAACCGTTGGCCTTGCAACTGGTCTGCTATGATTGCTTAAAAAAAAAAAAAAGACTTCCAGGTGATTATATTCCTAAAGGATATTTAAAAACAAACAGCCTGTCTTCCCAGAAACCACATTTGTACATTCCTGCCCAATAGATAAATTGCATGTACATAATGAAGGCCAGCTGTTTCTGAGGAAGCTTCCTGGAAACCGATGTCTTAAGAGTGCCCTAAGGTGACATTCCATTGGTGCAACAGCGATTCCTCCGGTGGACTGGCATTTACAGATGAAGCAAAGGCAATTTGCTGTAACCTTGGGCTTTGCTCCCCACACTGTTCCTGAGGGTCCAATGACTGACAGGAGCTGGCCCACAGCCACAGTGGGGCTATTGGGGACTCTGTTCCTTTCCTTAAAGGGCCAGTCCCACAAGATTTTTTGGAGATTCTTTTTAGAAGAATCGGGGGGTGCATAAAGGGATCCTTTAAATGCTTTTAAGAAGCGGGGGATGACGCGTGCCCCTCTCCCTCCTGCAAGGGCCCTCCAGCTGATGGGCATGCCATGTGCTCCCCGCTGATCAGCTGAAGGACCCTTTAAATCTTGCAGGAGGGGAGGGAGAGGGGTGACTGCTGGCGGCCGGGCTAGGGGGCAGATTGGAGCTGACATAAAGATAATGGCAACCCCATCAGAATTTTTTTTTGCCACACAAGCCACAAAATCCTGGCTACAGGCCTGCACAGGAGCAGAGAATGCGGGAAAGTTGCGGGAAAGTGCCTTCCTGAAACGCGACTCCACTCTTGCTCCAAGGCATGAAACCTCATCTTACCATCTTCTTGTAAGAGTACACCAGTGTCTTGAAAAACAACAGGGACGTAACCATGGGTATTATCCAGTCTACTGAAATGCACACGCCCCCTTCCTAAGTCGGTTTGTTTAAATCTGTTATCCATCAATACCCAACAGATCAATTTATTTAAAACACAGAATGCCAGTACATATTATTGCTTTCTATAACTGGAGACTATTTTAATAAAGGCCAGACTGCGTGTTCTGCAATACAAGAAAGAACAGTTAAGCATCTTGGCATTTTGCAATGCTCTTCTGTAGGAGGGTATTCACTCATCTGAAGGGCTAGCGGGTTCTTTTGCATTCCAGAAAATAGTTACAGGTCAAAGCTCAAGCATGTTACAGTCTACTTAAGCACGCACTGAAACACTAAACACTTTTTATCCTTAAAAAAGAAAGAAACAACATAATTCAAGTATACAGAAGGAGGAAAAATTATTCAATAAGCCACAGGCTTAGCATTTGTACCAAAATATCAAGAATGCATACTAATAAGATTTCTCAGCAATGGATTCATTCTGTTTTGGAAGTAAGGGGATGCTTTTGGTATGTACAAGATGCAAATGTGGATTGAATGGTTTGCCTGTAGGCCCTGGGTGGGTGGGTGGGTTGGGTGGGAGCCCCCGCAGGGCCTGTAAGACGAAGCTCTTCCGCCAGGCTTTCGAGCAGGAACCGCCACTACTACTACTACTACTACTACTACCACCACCACCACCATTACCATCATTGGTAGACCTGAGGGGTGGCCGCATGAAAATCAACCATGACTCCGCTGTGATCAGTACTGCTGGATTGGGGTCGAGTAACAACTATGGGTCTTAATCTCCCTATTGTTATGTAAATAAATAAATAAATAAATAAATAAATCCACGGTAAATGATGTTACCCGCTCTGAGTCTGGTTCCCGGGGAAAGCGGGTAATGAATTCAATTAAAAAATACATAAATCTGGTCAACTGCTGTTTGTGAGAGGTTATCGCAAGAACATACAAGGAACAACTTTACACAGGCATCCACAAAGAAGGCTGCCATGAGCAGCCATCGATTTAAGAAGGGCACCTTTCTCTCTTCTATCTGAAGAAGTGAGCAGTGACTCACGAAAGCTCCTACCCTGCCACATATTTTGCTAGTCTTTAAGGGGTTACTGGACTCTTGCTCTTTTCTATTTCTCTCTCCCAGACATCCAGTTCATCCCTCTGGGTTATAGATGCCTCATGGAGAACTCAGAGAGGCAACGGAGACAAAATCCACCTCACTCTATGGTCTTGGGCATGCACACAACCCTTGGGGAAGGCCCAGGACTCATTTAGGCCATATATACTATGGAAGGCTGGACATAATGAGGCACTTTGATGATTCTTTCAGAGGGCAGCCATGCCAGTCTGCAGCGAATGAGCTAGATTAAAGCCCAGTAGCTCCTGAGCGAACAAGATTCCCATGGAATAAGCTCTGGAGAGTCAAAGCTAGGACGTTTCCACAGACGCCAAATTGGATTGGCAGACAAGAAGTTCGGGCTACATAGTTAATGCCCTATGCATCTTATTTTTTTGCCATCAAGTCATAGCCAACATATGAGACCCCATAAGGTTTTCAAGGCAGCAGACATTCAGAGGTTGCTTGCCGTGGCCTGCCTCCGTGTAGCAATCCTGGTATTCCTTGGTGGTCTCCCATCCAAATAGTAACCAGGGCTGACCCTACTTAGCTTCTGAGATCTGAAGGTATCAGGCTAGCCTGGGCTATGCAGGTCAGAGCTTCTTACACATAAAATGCTCCATATAAATGATTATGCATACTGACTGACAGATGCTCGTGTACATCAATGGGCCATGCACAAAAATCTCTTCCCCCTTCCAACACTGAACAGATAACCAAGCGCTGTGATTGACTGAGGAAGGGTGGAAGCAAAGAGTGTCTTCCAGTGCTCGCTCGGCTTGGTTACAACTAAAAGCACTGACCGGTGCTCACAAGGTACAGCAGAGCCCTGGCCTCTTGGGTATGGCCTTGCTAGATGACAAAGTACACATTCCACTGGTTTTTATCTAATTCACTGGTCTTCACAGGCTGCCTGATTCTTCAAGTGAGCCCAGTTGGCGGCAATGCTCCCTCTAAGGTGGGGAGTCTTGTGAGCAAAAATTCTACTTTGTGAGCCGCTGGCCATGCAGTTGTGAGCAAGCAATTTGGCTGCTGCATAAATTAGTTTGCTCTGGAGCCGTCCTTCCTGAGCTAGCTCACACTAACTCAGCGTAGAGGGAACACTGGTTGGCGGCTGTCTTTTTGTAAAAAGGGCATTCTCTACTTAGAAGTGGCTCAACTGTTGTGTTGCTGAAGGTGGGAAAGTGGAGCCCCTACTCTGCATGTGAGAGGGCCCCAAGTTCAGGCCATCTCTCCATTTAAAAGGATCAGAAATAGCAGGTCTGGAACAGAATTCTCTGCCTGTGATCTCGGAGGTACTTAGATGAGACACTTCCTCAACCGGGAGCTGCTGAAAAACATTCTTTGTAGCCCTGTTCTCACGCAATGCTCCTTGAGGAATGACTCACCACAGACTTGCTCTTCATAATATCAGAACAAACTGTGTGAGGATATGAGGCTGACCAAAGACACATACTTTTCCCCTTAAGTCTCTCTCCGGACTTTGTGTGCCGAGTTTCCCCTTGTCCTGCTCTTATCTCTGAGTTATCTCCGAGTAACTTAATCTGATTTAAAACCTTCAGCTACTGAAAGGTTTATAAGGACAAGCCATCCTGAGGGGGAAATTTCTAGTCAGATTGTACTTACCTCTCGGATGACTTGCTGCAGTTCGTCGTTCTCCGTGCTTCTGTGAACTTCCTCGACAGGAGGTGGAAGAACCCCCTTGTCAAGTTTTGTTCCAGCCTCCGATTTGGAGGCTATGGGCTCCTCAGAACATTCTGGGGCTTGTGCCGCTCCTGGTCTTGCCGGCGGAGTGGGCATCAAGGCGACACAGGCTCGATATACTTTTTTGCTCTGGAGCTTGGACTTGACAGTCGTCTCGGATGAACGCCGGCCAGCTTTCCGGCTGGCTTGACTAGAACACACTGACGAAGAATCTGAATTTCCGTGATCGAAAGATTCTGAACTCTCTCCCACAGTGGTCTCCATTCCAAGTTCTCCCAGTCCCAACTCTGACTTCAGAAACGATTGTTCTCTAATGAGTTCGGAAACCTGTGAATTGAAGGAGGGGAGAGAGGTCGGCTGCTTTTCCTAATGCCTTGAGAAAATGGCCGACAACCATTCCCTTGACACAGGACAGAGTACAAAATGGTGTCTCACGCTTTGACAATGACATCAATTTCAAATGAAGAGGGCTGTACCACATCCTCAGGCATAGCAAGATTTTGACAGCTAACCCCCCTTACTTCATACGCTGTGGGCCTATGTGGAACTGTCATGTCCCCATTTCCAGGCTTTGCGTACAGTGAAAGAGAAGCAGAGCTGGCCACAAATGTTATATATACAAATTACATATGCGTTTGTGCATGTGAAGATGACATATAATACATACACACACGTGACAGCAGCCCCCCATCTTGATTTATTTATTTAGTTCGATTTTTATCCCGCCCTCCCTGCAAACGGGCTCAGGGCGGGTTACGACCACAAGATAACACCATAATTTTGATAGTTAAAACCGTATTTCTGTTAAAACACAAACTAAACGCAATCAGGGTGGATTCACCTTGACAACAATGCTCAGTTTGGGCTCATTCCATTTGGCCAGCACTGTCATCGGGGGAGGCCGAGATATCTTTGGATGTCCACCATCTCATCCGAAAGCACAGTGGAACAGCTCAATCTTGCAGGACCTGTGGAATTGTAATAATTCCCGCAGGCCCTGATCTGGAGGGAGCTTCTTTCACCAGGCGGGGGGCCAGGACAGAAAAAGCCCTGGCTTTAGTCAAGGCCAGCCGGACATCTTTGGGGCCTTCAGCTGCTGTGGCAGGGTGGTGCCCCTCTTTCCATTCTGAAATCAAGACCATGGGGGGGGGGGGGCACTGCCTTTCTGCCAAATCAACACTTTTCCTTTTGATGACATCACCAACTCAGGGGCCAACCCCAACTTGGCAACCCCCTGCTCTGCCCTTTACTCCTGATGCCATGGGAACTCTCAGAAGGAAGAAGTAAGGGGGGGTAATGTTTTACTGACCTCAGCTGATGATGACTCTCATTGGGGGGAGGAGACTATGAAAGTCCCAAGGACAGAGGGTGGAAAGGAGACCACCAACCCTGTTTCAGAAGGTGGCTCATCTAGCTTGCAGGCTCGGTGGAAGGATTACAGCGCAGTTCACTGCAACCCTGGCTTATGATTCTGTAACCTGACATTCTGAATAAGGAGTATTACTTGGGCTGAAATGCACTGGGCTCCTCAGAATCTTGAGCTAATGGAAACGTCCCGGCCTTCTGGGGGCACCACAACAATCGAATGCAGTCTGTCTTTGCCTAAATGTTACATCATCCTAGCTGATACAAATAGGTAAAGGTTTCCCTTGCTTGAAAGCTAATCGAATCCAACTCTAGGGGGCAGTGCTCATCTCCATTTCCAAGCCGCAGAGCCAGCGTTCTCCGAAGATGTTTCCGTGGTCATGTGGCTGGCATGACTAAACGCCGAGGTACACGGAATGCTGTTACCTTCCCACCGAAGTGGTACCTATTTATCTACCTGCAATTTCTTGCTTTCGAACTGCTAGCTGGGGCCAGAGGCGGGAGCTCACTCCGTCATGCGGCACTAGGGTCTCGAACTGCCAAACTACAGACCTTCTAGTCAGCATCTTAACCTCTAAGCCACCGCAGCCACCGATACAAATAGACACTCTCATTTTTCACATCTTTTCCCTCTCATATGTATTCAGTATTAAAGCTATAATGCTCCACACACTTCTGTGCGTGTGTGTGTATAAAGTGCCATCAAGTCGAAGCCAATTTATGGTAATCTCAAAGGATTTTCAAGGCAAGAGATTAACAGAGGTAGCTTGCCATTGCCTTTCTCTGCATAGCGACCCTGGAATTCTGTGGTGGGCTCCGGATCCAAGTACTAACCAGGGCTGACCCTGCTTAGCTTCTGAGATTTGACGAGATCGGGCTAGCAGTGCACGCTTACTTGACAATAAATCTCGCTGAAGAGGACAGGACTTATTCCAAATACACCAGTATAGCATTGGATTGCTAATCTGATCACAAATAATGCATAAGAGAGCCAGCGTGGAGTAGTGGTTAAGAGAGGTGGACTCTAATCTGGAGAAGTGTGACCAAGGCCAGGCCTGAGGGCACCAGATTCCGCACTCCTCCACATGAAGCCAGCTGGGTGACCTCGGGTCAGTCACAGATCTCAGGCTCTCTCAGCCCCCCCAATAAATCTAGCTTGCCACCTAGTGGTGCATAACGCTAAAAGAGTTAGAACTTAAGGCTGCCAGACAATCTTAGGATCTCCTGGCTATACTACACACAATGCCATACGATAATTATTATTACTAATGCATATTTGTCTACATTTAATGAACAGTCCTACTGAAAGCATTATGACTTATCACTTGACCACACAAAACTGTCCTACATTGAATCAGGCCACTGGTTCATTAATATTGTCTACTCAAACCAGTAGCATCTCTCTCGGATCTCAGGCTAAAGTATTTCACATCACCTACCATCTGGTTCTCCTGCCAACCTAGCAGTTCGAAAGCAAGAAATTGCAAGTAGATAAATAGGTACCACTTCGGTGGGAAGGTAACAGCGTTCCGTGCGTCTTGGTGTTTAGTCATGCCGGCCACATGACCACGGAAACGTCTTCGGACAGCGCTGGCTCTTCGGCTTTGAAACGGAGATGAGCACCGCAACCCTAGAGTCGGATTCGACTGACTTTCGAGCAAGGGAACCTTTACCTTTAACTTTTTACCATCTAGTTTATTCAACTGGAGATGCCAGGGATTGAACCTGCAACCTTCAGCATGCCAAGAAGATGCTCTGCCACTGAGCCACGGCCCCTTGTTCAGAACTTAAAACACTTCTGCTGAATTGAAATTATGTCCATTCCTGTCTTGGTTCTCTTTGTTTACTTACCGGCTCCATCACATTCAGCGGAGAAGGGCACGACAAATTATCAGCACTTCTGCTGCCATACATGCCCTGCAACCAAATAACAGAAATTCACAGCACTGACACTTTTAGAAACGGTCGAAGCTGTTAACTGCCTTGTTCAGCACCACAACCTTTTAGGAAGTGTTGAGGCACTGAGCCAAAAGGCAGCTGGAGAAGCAACACATTTAAGTCTATGCTGGCATTTGGGAAGCTGGAACAAACCCGATCGTCAATGTTTCCTCGTCTTCTCTCCCGCACTTGCCTCCTCCAAACAGAAATACTCCCATGCTGCAAAGGGTAGCCTTTCATTTACAGGTCTAATTTAGTGGACAAAGATGTCCCATCCAAAATGTCAGCATCAACAGGCCAACGGACATGCTGCAAAGGGTAGCCTTTCATTTACGGGTCCAATTTAGTGGACAAAGATGTCCCATCCAGAATGTCAGCATCAGCAGGCCAACGGAACGGAAAAGGAGCTGAACATATCCCATGAGAGACGTCCCTCCGGTACAGTAAATCAAAGTGACCCACCCCAGGTCCTGTGTTTTGGGAAGCCCTGCCTGTAGCAACCCCAAATCCACTTCCAGTAACCTGAGCAGTAGGATCAGTATGGGGTATGGTGATCGATGGGGTTGCTTTGAGTCTGAAAGGGCAAAACACCATGAACTTCCAGCCTCAAAGCCATTGCCAGGGAGCTGTGTACGGCTGCCAGTTCCAAGCCGGGAAATTCCTGCAATTTGGGGGTGGAGCCTGGGGAGGGAAGGTTTGGGAGCCCAGCAGGGGTGTGATACCGTATAGCCCACCCTCCAAAGCTGACATTTCTTCCAAACTGATTGCTGTAGTCTGGAGATCAGCTGTAATTCCAAGGGCTCTACAGGCCACACCTGGAGGTTGGCAACCTTTCAGCTGGGTGGTGGGGCCATCTCCTTGGTGACCAGCATGGAGACGGCCCCTTCACCCTGAGCTGACTGCTGAAGGGAGGTCAGGGGAACATCTTAGGTTCCACACTCCCTCATACAGATGGCCCTGCATCCTATACAATAGTTTTTGTCTTGAGTTGTGCCGTCCCCTGGAGGCATATCTATGCAACAAAATCAGGCAAGGTGCCAGAGGAACTGGGGGTACAGCTGGAAGATCGTACTATGGCATCAGACTACCTTAAAGGCACAGTAGTACAATGTTGAAAGCCTAACGCAGAACACTGTTCTAGTGATTTATAGGAACGGGGCCGTGTAATCACAAATACAACCCTGTCCGCCAACCACGCATGGTGGAGATGGCTTCAGACAATAAACCCCCCTCACTACCAGCAAACTTTAACTGAGAGACACATGCAATCAACTTGTAAGTCTTGATCATCTCAAGGCTGCCAATACGGTGCATGCTAAATTGCATTAAATTGTGCAATACGGAACCACATGGGAAAAAGTCACTCTGCCCTAAAAGAAAATACCAGGTTCATGTGGCTGTTCTACTCCAGTAATATAAACACGAGCTGGGGTGAAAGACACTCATCCCTGATACAGACAGTGCTTCTATTTTCCCTAACGCAGAAGCAAAATTATTGTTGGGGTAAAGAAAAAAAACCACACTTGCTTTGCCACTCTGAAAATATCTGCACGGGAGTATTCTCTGAGAGGGGTTGTGGTTCCTAAAGAGCAAGGCAATTGCAATGTTCCCACTGTAAACACATTTTTCTGAGTGACGTGGATGCTTGCAGCAACTGGCACCCACCATCAGCGTTTGTGACCTGTAAGGTGACGATACGTGTAGATTCCTAAGCTGCTCTTCAAGAGTGAGTAGACGTTCCTCCAGCTGCATTTCTAATTCCTGAAGCTCCATCCGAACAGATTTTCTCAGTGTCTGCAGCTGATCAGCTTCATACCTAAAAAGCAGAAGGAAGATCAATGGAACACAGAATGCATCCCCCTGCTAGCAGAACAGAAGAGAACACGATTATCGGAAACAAACAAGGAATTTATCCTGGGTCTGAAGAATGGCATACAGGCCTCTGCATGTTCTTTAGTCCAGGGAATGCTTGGGGGGGGGGGGGGGGGGTATCTCCAGTCCTTCCAGACAAGGAATGCCACCAGACATGGGACAAACTGAGCTTCAAGCATGGAACAGGAAACTGTGTGATGTCATGTTCATGTGACAGGAAGACAAGGACCCAGAAGTGTGACCAAAGCCAGGCCTGAGGGCACCAGATCAACAGCCAGGGACAGGAAACATGAGCCATGCACCAGATGAGGAGCCAGCTAAGGATCAGAGCCACGGAGGAATTTTCACCGCTGAGAGACTATGGGTGATTTCCCGCAAGCGCTCCTCCGCGCTCACTCCTCCCTTTTGCCCTGATGGTACGTGTCAATTTCACACAAGCTGCTGCGTGGCTGCATTTTGCCCCGCAGCTTCGTGCGATTTCCCCCGCGTCTACTCAATCCTCATAAACAGGATTGAGTAGACCCGGGAAAATCACACAAAGCTGCGGGGCAAAATGCGGCTGCGCAGCAGCTTGTGTGAAATTGACACGTACCATCGGGCCAAGGAGAAGAGTGAGCGCGGATCAGCGCTTGTGGGAAATCACCCTTTGCCTTGCTGTCCTGCCGCTCCTCTGAGCATGCGTGCAAAAACAGAAGTAGGAAGCTGAGGACACTAGTAGCAGGTTCTTCCAAAAAGCAGCAAATGTGTGTGTGGTGTGTGTATGCGTGGAGAGAGACACACACAGACAGACAGTAGTTATAGGGGGCTGTGATCCAGCAGGCAGGGCTCAATCACCCAACTGAGGCTCCTGCCCCCATGGATTGAAGGCTACTCTCACCTACGGCACCATCTACCAAGAGGAGGCAATATGGAAGAAATACAGCGTTCCACATATACTTCTAATGGAATTAAAGTAGTTCTGTTGTCGTCCCTGCCCCACCCCGAAGCAGGCCAGAAAACCCACTGGGGCATCCATTAGTAAGAAAATTAATCTTTTAGGAAAGAGAGTATGGCTTGCAAAGCTAACTGTAATATTCAGAACACCTGTAAATTGAACACTATATAGAGCTGAGTATGACCCATGTGTAGGAAAAAGTATGCTAGAACTGACAGCGGGGTTGGTTGCACAGACGTTTGTAATGGGAAGTTCAAAAAGCTGTTGGTCAAAAGGTGTGACTTTGGATGCATCCCAGCAATCATTTCCCTCCATTTGCACGTGGTAAACTCTGTAACAACACAGAACTGATATTTTAATGAAATTCAACTGAGCAGATATGTGAATCGACCTTATACCGAGTCAGACGATTGGTCCACCAAGCTCAGTACTCCACCCGGCAGTGACTCTCCAGGATTTCAGACATGGGCCTTTCATAGCACCTATTACTCTCAAAACCTCAACTGGAGATGGTGGGAATTGAACAGGGGACCTTCAGCATGCTACGCAGATGCTCCAACTGCTGAGCCACAGCCCCTCCCCACTTGCCAGAAGGCTTTGAACGTACAGAAGAGACTGCACAGTGGACCTCAGAGGTGAGGCCTGCTTGCTAAGAGCATGGTGGCCGCTATAAATCCAGATTCTGAGGAGTCATAGGGTGATTTCCCACAAGCGCCGCTCCCTGCTCACTCTTCTCTTTGGCCCGATGGTACGTGTCAATTTCACAGAAGCTGCTGCGCAACCGCATTTTGCCCCGCAGCTTTGTGCAATTTTCCCCGCATCTACTCAATCCTGTTTTTTGAGAATTGAGTAGACGCGGGGAAAATCGCACAAAGCTGCGGGGCAAAATGCGGCCGCGCAGCAGCTTGTGTGAAATTGACACGTACCATCCGGGCAAAAGGGAGGAGTGAGCGCGGAGCAGCGCTTGTGGGAAATCACCCATAATTCCACCAAATAAGATCCACTTTATGGTAGCGGCCAAAGTCACCTCTTGTGATTGAGGAAGAAAGCCTGAGCATCCAAACCATCCCTTTGGAAATGCAGAAAGCCTTTTAGAACGGGAACTTGAAGCTAGCTAAATGAAGAGAACTTACCAAAAGGGCAGAGGTCATAATAAAAAGGATGAAAAGCTGATAGAAGTACTCTTGACAGAAGTATTCTGAAGCAAGTGAAGAGGAGAGAGGCTGCAGCGATCAGTGTTGTGTGACGAGCAGAAACAAAGGGTTTTAGCAGCAGAGGAAGAAACTAGGTGCTCGTTCTAGGTACGGATTACAGGAAGGAGGAGAAAGCGACCGGCCAACTTGCTTGGGTTGGGGAGGAGAACAAAAGGAGGTTTGTGACTTATTCAGGGTCGCCCACCTAGGAAGAAACGGTGCTCTGAGAATGAGAGAGAAATGGAAGGGTGTGTGTGTAGATTTCAGCAGACATAGGGAACTGAACATATACACAGATGTTAACTAGAAGCTGCTAAAGTGAGAGTCATCAGGTCCTCTGTTCAAAATCTGTCACAAGCTATCTGTTTTACCTCTCCTCTTCAGTCATGTGCTGGTAAACGGTCGTCTGCTGGCGCAGCATGTTCAATTCTAAGTCCATCATTTGCGTCCTGAAGAGGTTGAGGCTTCTCCGTACGACCTGAAGATCTTGGAATGTATTCTAGACGGGCATGAAGAAGAATCGTTTAGCTCCAGGTAAAATATCCAGAGTTTTCATTGGCACGACTGGAGGCCAACAACTGAATAAGGAATCAGACTTCCTGATGAAGGCTGTCTACTAACTGGCAGGAAAGGAAGCTGGGAAGAGCCTGTAAGAGGGCAGCTGAATAAAATCTGGCCGCAGCAGCTGAATAAGATCTCCTCTGCTCACAGGTACTTAACACCTAGGCAAGCTGAAGAGCAAAATCTAAAGGGCTCGTTGTCAGAGTCTCACAAAAACCAGTCCCAACAACGTTCCTTAACTAGGATCAGGTTTATTGGACAGTAGAAACAAGTCGATCTTACACAGTCGGTGTCAGAACTGGGGTCCCAGGCGGGAAAGGTACAGTTATACAGAATTCGAACAGAACCCCTGATGCAGGTAAGCCATTAAGCAAAGCAAGAAATTACGCCTAAAACTAACGGGCCTAGGTTCCCAGCAAAGCTTGCAGAGAGGAGCGCCAAGGTCATTTGTCTGAGCTCCAAGATAAGAGGGTGAGTGGGAATCGAAAGACAAAATACCAGAGGCATGAAGAAGACTCTCATCAGCCCCCCTCCCCACCTGCCACAATGGCAGCATAGCTGACGCTCCTTTACTTTAACGCTTTGCCCAAGGGTCATACCTTAGAGCTGGAGAGAAGAGAGAACTACCTTCACTCACAAACCTTCCCCCGCTTTCCCTTGTTTCTGTGATATTTCTGTATTGTAAGCTGATTTGGATCCCCACTGGGGAGAAAGGCGGGACATAAAGAAATAAAACCAAACTCCTCTCTGACCCGTGTTCCAGTGACTGTCTTGAAACGGCTTGGGGGAGGAGGACTGGGTATGTGAGGAGGAGGAAAACTCATCTCTGCCATACTGAAGTCTACATACTTTTATGTTCTTATATTTATTTTTAATTGCTTTCTGTCCATGAGACGGAAGTTGAAGTTCAAACAATCTATATGTTTATAATTTAAAAGAGTAAAATATGTCTATCATGCACAGAAAAAAAGAAGGAAAAGTGCCATTTACTTCATATAGAGGTAGAATGGATGATCTCTGAGTATTGTAAGACGGTGTCGTAACGTCGTGACCTCTCATCACAGCATTCTAGAGGGAAAGAAACCCAACATATATATGTATCAATAAGAGTCTGAACAAACTAAAGCAACAGGCAATAGTCAAGCACCATAAAACTGGTGATATGGAGTAAAGCTGGCTGTGGACAACTTTGCAAGAATGTAGACAGTTGGATACTGAACACCAGATTGGTCTACATTTGTTTAAAGGATAAATCAATTAAAAAGGTAAAGGTAAAGGTTCCCTTGCTCGAAAGCCAGTCGAATCCGACTCTAGGGTTGCAGTGCTCATCTCCGTTTCAAAGCCGAAGAGCCAGCGCTGTCCAAAGACATTTCCGTGGTCATGTGGCCGGCATGACTAAACACCAATGCGCACGGAACGCTTTGCTTAAAATGAACAAACTTGATCCTCTTGTCTGGTCTCAATCTGGAATGCACTAACATTAATTTGGAAACGACACAGCCAATAGGACTGCGCTGTTGTGTACCTGTGCTCTTCCAATCCGCAAGTCTTAGTGGGCAAACAAAAATGGGGCACAAAATCTGAGACAGAGTGGACTTGCCACTGTCCTTCAGTTCAATTCTGCTGTCACTCTGCTTTCGTTTTGGGGTCTTTTGCAAAAATACAGACCTCAGAGCATTTTCACATACAGTGAAATTTAAGCAGGGCAGGGGAAAAGAAAGGCATAGCCTTACGGGGTGTTGCAATCCCACGGAGGACTGTTACCATGTATGCATTCTGAATCAGCTCTAAGAGGCTCCAGTCTGAGGAGAAAGTGTGCGCTCCACTGAGCAGAATTCAAAACCCAAATTAGCCAATGAATATCTACGTGACAAGCTGATTACCTGAGGTTTGGTTTCTCACCTGTAAGATGGGTTGTTGGGGTTTTTTTAAAAAAGGAATTTGCAGTGTGCTCAGGGCAACATATTGAAACTTATCTTCCCACCGACCTTATGAGGCAGGATAGGCGGAGAGAGTGACTCATTCAAGGCCACCCCTTCTTAGCAGGGATCTGAATCCAGGTTAATCTGAGCCAGTACTCTACCCCTGGACACACTGAATCCCCAACAGTGAGCTCTCTAATCCAAAGAAGACACAGTTTTTCATCTTATAGCTCAAAAACAATATAATTTTTATGATCTCCTGTCTGCAGTCTTTGAGAGAGAAGGGCTTTTTTGGAAGCGTCTTCACTTGGCTACTGCAAACAGGAGATTTAAGAGAACACCTCGAGCTCTTTGAGCACAAACACAGTAACTTTGGCTCCTTAAAGCAAGGGGGAAAGTGGTCAGACTGGTAGGACTCAGAGTTTTATGAACTATGAACACCTCATGGAAAAGTTTAAACTCCACAAACAGATTAATCAAGCTCTTATCCTATTCACAATCACCAGGATTTCACAATTCTGGCCAAGTTCACTCAATATTATGTTGCATGTCAGGGACAGAGGAATTTCCTCTGTGGGGAATAACACACTTCAATATTTGCCAGTACGACTCCCGATTATTTGTGAAAGTCTCTTCAGAAGTTTTAGCTACAGCACGGGATAGCAGACTTCATCCTCCTCAGAGCTACTTAATTCACTTCAAGAGCCCTGGGAGCAACCAGTCACAAAATGGTGGCTCATTAGGCAGGCAGAGTCTCAAAATGGCAGCTCAGCAGTCACAAAATGGCTTTGGACTAGGACTGCCAATACCTGGGTTCAAATACCCTCTCAGGCTTAAAGCTCACTGGGTGAGCTAGGGCCAGTCACTTCATCTCAGCCGAACCTACCTCACTAAAGTACTGCAAGCACAAAGCAGGGAGGGAAGAAAGGGTGGGATTTTTTAAAAAATGAGGACTTGATTTTGTAATCCCCCCCCCCTTTGGGGGATGGGGAAAGCTTACCTCAGCAAAAGGGACATGAAATATAATTTCTTCATAAAGGGACTGCTCTGTCTCAGAACAGATGTGTGTGCAAGGGGGGTTCAAGTGAAAACTAGCGAAAGAGAGTCATGCCCCTCCACTTCGGTAGAAGGTGCTTAGGAATAATGGGCTGAAGAGCTCCGAGCCCTTTGGCATTCTGGAAAAAACCTGTGTGTTTGGTGGGTGAATTAACTGGAATTCAGAACCTAAAAAGGTTAGTCAAGAATAGAAGAGGGCCAACTCTAAAAATCTAATTATGAAACATACAAAAATATACATGTATTTATTCAACACAAATTAAAATAACAAACAAGGGCCCATTTATGTTTTTTATATTTGTATATGAGGTATGAATGGGCCCTTGTTTGTTATTTTAATTTGTGTTGTTTTAATTTGTGTTCTATTCTTGACTAAACTTTTTAGGTTCTGAATTCTAGGTTTTAGGTTCAGTTTTTTTCCCTTTTCTCTTTTTTGTCCTTACGGGTGAATTAACTGGACAGCAAAAAATACCCCGTGCTTCCCACAATCAAGGGCTTGGCTAGAATTGCCCCCCCCCCCGTCCTGTTGTGAGACAATTCACACACACCCTGTGAAGACTGTCCAAAATAGTAAAACCATCTGGACTCTGATCAATGCAGAACATCAGTGACATATGGTACCCACCCTGAACTCTTTCAAGATTATGAAAAGGGTATGTGTAGACCTTCAACACATCCTTCAACACATGTGTAGACCTTCAACACATCCATCAATACTGAGGGACTTTCAGCAGTACCAAAATCCCAATACCTCGAAGCAAAGCTGGGCAATTGACTTCAGCCTTTGCTGTGAATCAAGTTTACCACAGCAATATTCATGGAAATGTCCCTTTGGAGAATTTTGTGATCATCCTTTTCTAAAACAAACCCTTGAGTTGTTCACTGAAGACCCAGGCAAAAAAACACAGCATAGGTGAGTACTGGGAAGATGTTCCCTTTAGATTAGTAAGGCCTTGCCATTTTTTTACCTTTCACTTTGGGATATCCTTTGAGTCTGATGTAATAGTCGCACAACTGGCATTTGTGAACACAATACAGACTAGCTTTGGAAGAAATGCTGTAATGTAGTGCCCACAGTGAATGTTTCTTTCACTAATGACTACTGAAATTGTTCTAAGAGTCCTTCATTATCACTAGCATGTTTTGGCTAGCAATATTTTTTTTCCTCCTCAAACATCTCTGAAGCATCCATTCTAGGGATTACATCCCAGGCTAAATTTGCATTTCCTGACAGTTCCCTCTTTCTATGGTAGAGCCCCCTCATGTCATTATTTGGGGTTCCTCATCCTGCAAGAGCAAAATTTTGTGAAGATAAGCGGGCTGGGGTGAAAGGAGGGGGGACAGGAAAATTCCATTCTGCCATACAGATAATTTGTTTTGCATTCAAACCTAGAACTCAAAACTGTGTCCTGAATAGGGATGGACACGAACCCACAAATGAACCCTGGCTGGAGCACGAACCAGGACGGTTTGTGGTTCGCATACCAGGGGTTCGGGAAGAACATGTCTCCCACGGTCCGCCCACAAACCACCGTGTTTTTCATGGAGGTTTGTGGGAGACATGTTCTTGGGCTCTGAAGGCATTTAAATGGCTTTGGAGTATACTTCTGGGTCCAGCGGCCCACCCAGAAGTGAGCTCTGAGAGCATTTAAATGCTGTCAGAGCCCACCACTGGCATGTGGCCCCACCCAAGTGAGCTCTGAGAGTGAGCTCCAAAGTCTTGGAGCTCAGTCAAGTAGGGCCCGACTTGAGTGAACTCTAAAGGCTTTTATAGGCCTTCGGAGCCCACTTCTGGGTGGGGCCTGCCCATAATAGGGCATATAATGCCTATAAAAGCCTTCAGAACTCACTTCTAGGAGCTCAGTAGGGCCGACCCAACTTGGAGGTGCAATGAAGGAGGTCATTGGAGGTTCTGGTCCGCCATGAACAATGTTCTGCTCATCCTAGGTCTACAATGCATTGCCTTCAGGAAGGAAAACGTATTGGAATATATCACAGGACTATTAAATACAAACTGAGAAAATCTAAGAATGAACTTTGCAAGGCTTAATTTAGTGAAAACAACTTTTTAAAGCAAAGAGTCAAAGGCTGCAGTTGCACACACTAAACAATCCACTTTCAGTGCACTTTCCAACTGCACTTTACTGTGTGAACTGGCAAAATCCAGTTGGAAAGTGCATTGAAAGTGGATTATTTCGTGTGTGTGACTGCAACTTAGCTTAACAATGAAATCAGACAGACATACAGACAGACAGAGAGACAGGTTGATAAATGATATAGATAGATATGATGAAATATGTGTTCCCAATGCTTCGGCTTAGTTTTCACTGCCAACATCTGTTTGGCATTCGCAATTTCCAATGTATTTCTTCCTCTAGGTTTCAGTGCTAGCTTTATTTGGCTTAGACTTGGCTTTTACACAAACATCATTTGCTCCATCTGTGTTCACAGCAGCTCTTGGAAATGGCCATGCCTTGGGTTTAACAGCACAAAAAGAACTATTCGGACAGCCGCTGGGTCAGGGCCAGCAAGCAGGACAAATATCCCCTTTGTTTTAAGGGGGCGGACGAGTCATGTACCCAGCATAAGCTATGAGGAAAGGTTCTGCTACCCTGCCATAATTATGTTGAAAGCACACACAAGAAGCAGTGGAGCAGTTAGCAGATGAGTGCTGAGCAGAGAGATTTTCTCAGCGCAAGCTCCATCACACCACCATTGGAAGTTTCTGTTTGTTTCTCAATAAACAAAGACGCCACCAAATGGCTGGGGAAACAGAAGCCATGTGCCCTGATGTTCTGTTTTCATATAAGCTTACTTACCAAGAGCATATTTTTAGCAAGGCAAAACATGTCATGGCTAAGGCAGGTATAGGCCACCCCCCACCCACCTCAACAGTGGAGCACCAGATCATTCTTCGTGGTTGCACAGTCAGTCTGCCATCCAAGGACAGCCCCTAAGAGGAGTTGGCAGCATGGAGGGCAACCACAGGCACGGTTCATGCCCACCCTTTCTCTCCTGGCCCTGCACAACTGCCCAGGTGGTGTAAGGCAAACTGCTGAAGTGCCGGGCAGTACAACAGAGCTTGGCTGACTCTGGCAAGATACAGCCCTTGTTTCTTCGCTACACTGTTGCTCAACAGAACCACAGCATCTTCACGGGTAAGTGCTGCATTTCCCCCCGTGGGTAGTTGGGCCAAAAATGATTGCTTACTCTTGCATAAACCACACAGTCCTTTAGGATGGTTCTGTTTTCATATAAGCTTACTTACCAAAAGCATATTTTTAGCAAGGCAAAACATGCCATGGCTAAGGCAGGTATAGGCCACCCCCTCCCAGTATATGTGCTCAACAGTGGAGCACCAGGTCATTCTTCGTGGCTTGCACGGTCAGTCTGCCATCCAAGGAAAGCCCCTGAGTGGAATTGGCAGCATGGAGGGCAACCACAGGCACGGTTCATGCCCACCCTTTCCCTCCTGGCCCTGCACAACTGCCCAGGTGGTGTAAAGCATAATGCTGAAGTGCTGGGCAGTACAACAGAGCTTGGCTGGCTCTGGCCAGATACAGCCCTTGTTTCTTCCCTAAAAAAAAACCACAGCATCTTCACGGGTAAGTGCTGCATTTCCCCCCGTGGGTAGTTGGGCCAAAAATGATTGCTTACTCTTGCATAAACCACACAGTCCTTTAGGATGGACAGATCCACTCTAGCTTATGGGTCACTTGCTGACCTTTGCAGATCTTCCCGGAGTTCCCCTGCCCCCTCCACAGCAGCCATTTCCAACCCTGGGAATAGTAGGGAGGTTGCACTGTGGAGGGGGAAGGGGGCAAAACCACTCCCTCCGGCCTCTTCTGTGAGAGGAACGCCAGTGATGGACTAGAACAGGGGTGTCAAACTTAACGCCTGGGGGGCCAGAACCAACTCGTCCAGGGCTCTTATGCGGCCCGTGAGCAACTAGTGCAAGGGAAGGAACAGGAGACTGCTCAGGAGAGTGGGGGGAGCCACTCTGGTTGTGGCTTTAGATTGGCGGAACAACCTCGTCTGCAGCAGTCAAGCAGTGTGGGAGCGTCTGCCCAGTGCTGCACTGCTGGCTCTCCAGTCCGCCCATCTGGGTTTTCCTTTGCAACCCCCCTCCCAGCCCATGGGGCCTTGCAGAAAGGATACAACAACTCGGAGCTTACCAGCTGGTGTCCTTTATATAGCTTATATCTCCGGTACCTGGCATTATGTTTAATGGCACACATGGCCCAGCCGGACAAAGTGAAATTTATGTTAGATCTGGCCCTCGTAACAAATGAGTTTGACACCTCTGGAGTAGAACCTTCCCCCCTTCCCACTGCAGCCTCCCAACTTATTTGGGAATCCCTGCTTCCCTGGGAATCCTTTACTTTAACAATACTGCTCTTCCAGCCAATCCGGCTCTGAACAGTGTCACACTAAGACTAAAAAAAAAAAAAGGAAATGTATTTAGCACATGTGTCTATATAATGTAAAAACTTAATGATTTTTAATCTTAATCGACTGAGAAAAGAACTTGGCAACTGCCAATGTAATATTAAAATCCCCCCCTGCTAAAAGAAACCTGAAACGATCCAGTTCACACCTAAAGTCCTGGATACAGGGGTTTATCCAACCATTTCTTGCATCGTTAAGCAAATCACAGTCGGACAGGCGATGTTGAAGGGTGTCTGTTTGGCCAGAACCACACTGGCACAGTCGCTCAGAGTAAGGCATCTCATTTAAGTGTCCCGACAGCTCCCCTGACGGAACAGCATTCAATCTAGCCAGCATAAATAATCATCTATAGTGTGGAACTGTCAGGAAATCAAAACAGGCTGGAAGATATTGTGGTAACACTAAACCTAAACATAAAGCTTCCCTGGGAATCAGTTTTCCCAAGGCAAGAATGAGCACTGGAGGAGGGGGAATCAGGGAAGAACCACAATCTTTGCACGGTCTTCGCACAGTCCTTGCGCTGATACGCCAACCTCTGATACGCCCATTTTTTCCACCACTGCAACCCCACGCCCCACCATGAGCTCAACTCTCTCTTACCTGCGACAAGTTCTGCAAAGAGCTCCGGATATCATGCAAGACTCTCCTAAGCTGCATTTCAACCGTGGATGGGGAATGCACCGGCTGCGGCTGGTGGGGGTGGCCCAGGCTCCTCAGGGAGTAAGGGCAGCCAAAAGGGGAAGGCAAGCCGCTGCAGCTGGACCCGGGGGTACTGGGGATGCTGTGCGTACTGAATGTTCTCGCGTGAGCACACAGGGGCCTCTCTAGGCAATCGGAATGAAGAGAGTGGAGTGAACACGAGGACTGAGACAAGTGTGCCGGGAAGTGCAGCGGGCAGCTGTGGATCCTGTTCCGGCAGGGCTCATCCGCCACCTTGCTCACTCCGGGCAGAGACGTTCCTTTCCTAACGGGTGAAGGAGCAATAAAAAGTGTGGATTTGCACGGGGGAGGGCTGTCCTGGGCCTCCTCAGTGGATTTCACTTCTTCGTGGCCTCCCCTCCCCTCTTCTTCAGGGGTGTCGTACTTGTAAGTAAATGAAGGCGGGCTGCACAGAATCTGTTTTCCTGGATTTAGCTGGACATTCACGGAGGAGACAACTCTCACGGGGTTTAGTAGTGTGGTGGGGAGGGACTGGGAGCGCCGGAGGGGATAGCTGAGGTCAGCCATTCGATGCCTGTGCTTGAAAAGAAGGTCCTTCGATTTTAGCAGGGTGCGCCCAGCTCTAGCATCGGATGAACTGATTAGCTTCTTCTGGGCTCTTTCCAAAGCAATGCTAACCCTGTCCGCAGAGGAAGGGGACGAGCTGGTGCTTTCTATAGAGGACATAGATTTGAGAATGTGGTGCGTTGTATACTGAGGAAACTCATACTCGCTGCTTTTATCTAAATCACTTTCTTCGCTGTCTTCTTCCAATACTTCAAACGCAACCTGCTCTGCAGGAACGTCTTCATTTTTCCACAGGAAACGTCCCTGGCCAAACTCTGTGTCTTCTCCAGTTTCAGTCTGACCAGCTTTGCATTCTGGAATGTTCTCACCTTCTCCCACATTCGCCTCAGAAGCTATCTCCCCCATCTGCCGTTCTACTTCCGAAAGGAGGAATTTCTCCTCATCAAGCTCACTGAAATAGGATGGCTGTTCACCTATCGGTGTTTTGAGTTCTTCACTGTAAGATGTAACTGTTGTTTCGCTGTCACAACTGTCAGCGCTGCTCCCCATGGCCTGCAATGACTCGTGTGCCTGTGGAAGCATATGGGACAAAAAGTGACAATCAGAAATCCCCCAAAGCATTTGTACCTCCATATAAAGGAAAGTTAACAATAAGAAAAAGTGGGTGAGACAATGTGGTGGACTAGACAGAGTGTTGGACTAGAGACCTGAGACACCCAGGTTCAGATTTCCACAGGCCAAGAAACTAACTGGGTGACCTTGGGACAGTCACTGTCTCTCAGTAAAACACACCTCAGAGGTTTGTTGTGAGGAAAAAATGAAGAAGAGAGCTAGGCTTGCCAAACTCCAGATAGCACCTGGAGATCTCCCGCTAATACAGTGGATCTTCAGACAACCAAGGTCAGTCCCCCTGAAGAAAATGGCTGCTTTGGAGGGTGGACTCTATGGCATTAGACCCTGTTGAGGTTCCTCCCCTCTCCAAACTCCGCCCTCCCCAGGCTCCGCCCTCAAAACCTCCAGGTATTTTCAAACCCAGAGCTGGCAACCTTACCCTGAGCTCCTTGAGGGAAGGTGGAGTAAAACATACTGAATAAACACATTTCAGAGATAAAATGCTACCTGGAGGCAGAAGAATCTACATACACACACATTAATCCAAAGCAGGGATAGCCAGTCGGCAGCCTGAAGACCAAGTTCAGTCACCAAAGCAACTCGACCTGACCCTCGACAGCCTGTCAAAGTTTAAAATCCAGGTATGCTAAAACAGGTGTCCACCATGCCATTCATCAGGCTTTGAGGCCAAATACCTTTCTGAGCAGCGCTAACAGGAGCTGGACAAGCCAGCAGCAGAACGGACCCTTCCCTTGACTCCCCCCCTCTCCCAGCATGCTCTGCTCCCAGTATGTCATCCTTTGAAACAGCGGACAATAAGAGAAGTGAGGTAGTCAAAAGCCACACAGACTGCATTTTTAGCATCTGGCCACTGCCGTGAAAGTAACTTTAGTAGCCCGTCGCACTTAAGTAGTCCATCTAACCACAAAACAGGTGAAAAGACCAGGCCAACTTCCATATTTAGAACTCATATGCATAAATTCTCTTTAAAACTCCCCGCATGTTCCCCAGAGAGCACTACGATCAGGATCCCAAAACCGCCTGGACCTCCCTGGCCCAAAGGAAGTCAGGTTGATGGCAACTAGGACCAGGGCTTTCTCGTTTGTAGCTCTGTCCTATTGGAACGAGCTTCCTGCCGAGATCCGGGCCCTGTGGGACCTGTCACCGTTCCGCAGGGCCGTGGAAACAGAGCTTTTTAGACAGGCGTTCCGTTAGGAGTGGCATCTTACCAGCAGTGCCCTGTGTGAACTCTGATCCAACATGACTTAGCGCGGCGGCACTGCTGACTGTGTCCTTAAATGGCACTTTATTTTTATCGCCATCGAAGTGATGTTTTAAATGGATTTGTCTGTGTTTTAAATCATTTACTTCATTTTATCAATTGTGAAATGTATACTGTTTAGCACTTTTGTGGAAGCCGCCCTGAGCTTGCCTCGGCGGGGAGGGCGGGGTAAAAGTTCAATAAATAAATAAATAAATAAATAAATATAGAACATTCTACAGGCAATTTGAAAGGCACATGACCCTGGCAACTGCCTCTCCATCCCACCATATATAGAATGTGTAAGCTGGGGTTGGGTGAACCAGTTTCAATACCTAAACAAGCATGGAGGGGAAAAGAGAGACTGTCCTATCTGGAAAGATGAATGATGAGCATGTGAGAGGGTATGCATGCATGCATGCAGTGTGCAGATGTTCTCAAGGTGAAGCCCCAAGGAGACCACTTCTTCTTTCCACAAGCTCATGTGATAGTGGGGCACACACTCTTGCACACGCACCTGTTCCCAAGTTTAGAAGCCTCCAAAGGAAGTTTAGAAAATGTATTGAGGGCCAAAAGTTAAAAACATAAGTAAGTATAGATAACAGAGTGTTTATTAGTAAAGGTAAAGGTTCCCTTGCTCGAAAGCCAGTCGAATCCGACTCTAGGGTTGCGGTGCTCATCTCCGTTTCAAAGCCGAAGAGCCAGCGCTGTCCGAAGACGTTTCCGTGGTCATGTGGCCGGCATGACTAAACACCAAGGCGCACGGAACGCTGTTAACTTCCCACTGAAGTGGTACCTATTTATCTACTTGCAATTTCTTGCTTTCGAACTGCTGGTTGGCAGGAGCTGGAACTAGAGACGGGAGCTCACTCCGTCATGCGGCAACTCGGGTCTTGAACTGCTGAACTACTGACCTTCCACAGCCTGCAGTTCAGCATCTTAACCACTTGAGCCACTGCAGCTCCTAGAGTGTTTATTACAAAGACATATAAAAAACCTTGTAGGGGCCCAAATAAAGCCTCATAAAATGTTCAAAGTGACAAATGCACTAAAAGAAACAGTGTGTGACCAGACGCATTTCGGCTCACGAGAGCCTTCTTCCGAGGTCAAATAGTACAAAGCGCAGAATACACCAAGCAACAAAGTCCCTGTAACACATGTAAGGAAATAAACAATTAATAACATAGGACCAAAAATTGAATGTTCCAATATGGAATTGAATGACACGCCAAACGATTTCTGTTTGGGGCCACAGCTATATCTGGCCTTGTGTCAGGAGTAGTTGCATATACTGGAAATAATATCAGTGCCAATATGCACCTTCCAGTTTAGGTCCTAAAAGTGCAAGTAAAATTGCCTTATCAGGGACCATGTAGCATCAATACTTGCAGAGTATGTCCAGACCAACCAGTTTTTCACATAATCCAGTATGGATATTCGCATGGAGAGGGGGACACAGCTGATATCCTACCTATCGATTATATTTTTATGCCACTCTCTCCACTCAGCTGTTCAGGGTGGCTTATAAAGGCCCCTGCTCTTCTCCTGGTTACTCTTGCTATTTCCGTGAGGGAGGCTAGTCTGAGAGCATCATCCGGGGGGCATCCTGGTTGCATGGGTTTCAACTTGAATCTACATCTACCCAGTCCTAGTACGGCACTCTAGCAACTATACCACACTGCCTCTGTGGATCTGCGTGCACCGGGATCTGTGACTCAAAACATCTTGGAGGGACTCTGAAAGAATGTTAACATAAGAACATAAGAGATGCCAATGTTGGATCAGACCAAAGGCCCATCCAGTCCAACACTCTGTGTCACACAGTGGCCAGAAATACCAGGTGCCATCAGGAGGTCCAGCAGTGGGGCCAGGACATTAGAAGCCCTCCCACTCTTGACCCCCCCAAGCACCAAGATGACAGAGCATCACCTGCCCCAGAGTCCCTATCTATACCTTGTGGCTAATAGCCACTGATGGACCTCTGTTGTGCGGAATTCATGGCTGCAAGAGAATCCATACGGATCTATCGGTGATGAATGGCTCCCCATTATATTTATCTAGGTAGGAACTTAAACAGAAAGAGATGGTTGGGGAAAAAGATCAAATGGCCGAGAGGAGAAGGAAGACGAGATACCTGCTGTAGATCTTCATTAACAACAATGGGCTACAGGTGGAGAAAACAACTCCTAATAGAAGTTGGTTCAAGGGGCATGGGGGAGAGCTACTCTCTTCATGAGTTGTGCGGGTTACATTTTGTTCTCGACATTACTGTGAGACACGACATTCATGGTGCAATCCTGACCAAATCAGCTCAGAAGTCCGCCACACTGAGGAGAATGGTGGTTCTTCGCTAGTAAGTGCATTAAGAATTGCAGCCTAACTGTTGTAAATACTGTCAGGATACAGGCAATTGTGGGCTGCCGAAATCCCAACTTCAATCTCCTGAGTGCCCTAACAAATGTGAAAAGATAAACCTGAAGCTTTCCTTTCCGTAATGTGTTTTTAAAACGCTGAATGCTATTCAGCTGTCAAATGAAAAGTTGTAACAGCAGAGGGCACTAATTTATCACATATATGTAGGAACATGCAAGCAGCTTAGATTTTTTAAAAGCAAAAAGTCATCCTCAGCTATTTCACGGAGATTTCTTTTTCTTCCACTGCTCTTGCAAAGGGCAGGAAAGACCCAGAAAGAAGTTCCCTTAAGAACAAACCTAGCATAAGTCAAACCTGCTTCATCCCAGGTCAACGTTACGTATTGTCAGGATGTCAATGCATTCATTCAGACAAAGAGAGATCAACAAGCAACTGTTTTGTTTCTTTCCATCCTCCTTCCCCCCCCCCAACTCTGAGAACTTGAGCTAATGAGAGACAGCTATGCGTGGAGTAAAGAAAAGAGCTTGTTTGTCAGTGCAGTTTTGTCACAAAGGCGGGCAAACCTTAAAACGCTGGCTTGTACCCTGTCCACTCTACTTGGACAAGTTTGAGGCCTTCCTCCAGCCTAAGCAGCCTGCCCTTGACAGAATGAGGCTCCTGAAGCTGGAAAAGGGCTTCAAACTTCGCTCTGCAGAGTAAGCACCAGGATACAAAGCCAAACTTTTAAGCGGTCTAAAATCAAAATATCACCAGTGACTTCAAATTTATCTTGGGACTGAACCTGCACGCAGGAGGACTAAAATACATGTTTGCCACCCAAATCTCACATAGTTTAATTCTCAATTATTATCAGCCTGGCAAGCAGTGGGAGAGAAAGTGGAGACATGGTTTTAACCATAGAGTTTCCAGAAATTCCTAGAGCTACCACTGTCATTTCTGGGTATTTCCCACAAGTGATGTCATTGTGCAGGTGACACCAGTGAATTTTAAAAAAAGTTTTAATTACATTTTTAGGAACCAATCCTGCCCTGACCGGGGGCTTGGAAGCCCTATCAATTATTCAATCTCCTTGTACCCCCTCCAAAAGTATGTTAGTCTATCACAACAGGATTGGACTTTTAGGCTAATTGCAGGCATGAGTAGCATTCTACATGAATCCCAAATGGATAAGTGAAGAAGGAATAAGCGATTATTGCCACAGCGACAAACTGGGCTGAAAAACAGGGCTCTCAGCCAGCAAGGGAACTGATTCTCTTGTTTGGCATTCCACAAGATTTTGGATAGACCTGGAACAGTTCCAGCATTTCAGCAAAAGGATGAACAGCCAAGAACACGGACTGAATTCAGCTTCCCAGAGAATGTGCTGTAAGGTGTCACCATGCCAGCAATCAAGTTAAGCGAATAGCCTGCTTGCATCTCTCAAATGAAGCATGAGAAATCAGACCTTAACTCCATGGCCCAAAGGATTTGCCTTCTACCCTTCTGTCTTTTTAAACATTTTGTGACATTCAGCCAGATCAAGAGTTCTGGTGAGCTCAAATGCTTGCGCAGTGTTTTGCGTCAACTGGGTTGGTCCTAATAAAAGGCATTACGCAGATTTTGTTCTTACTTTTAGGATTTTGCCCGGGACGATGTGGCTGTACAACTTCTGAGAACAGCCAGGGAAACTTCCTACCGGTCAGTCTGCTTAAGGTTGTGCTCTGAATGACAGAGCTACATCGTGGACGTAGAATGATGCCACTCTGGTTAGTACTGCTTTGTCAATCACTGCCGCAGAATTCTAATACACTCTATCTCGATGAGGGGAGGAAACCCCTATCTTCACTACATTTTGACATTTGAGATGCCTAAGATTTTGCCTAAAACCAGGAGGATTGGAAGGAAATATGAGCATCTTGGAACGTCCTGTGTAAAGAGACCTCTCCAACCATACCAAATAAAAAAATACTGATTATAATATCTGCTTTATAATCCTGGCAGTTGGAATTCTAAAAGGAAAGTGAAGCATCTGACCAATCAGATAATCAGCAATGATGTGGAAAGAATGAACGTTAATGTAAAAAATTGTAGGGCCCTACCGCACTTAGCTCCCATCTCCGGGCCCAGCTCCTGCCAACCTAGCAGTTCAAAAGCAAGAAACTGCAAGTAGATAAATAGATACCACTTCGGTAGGAAGGTAACAGCGTTCCGTGCACCTTGGCGTTTAGTCACACCGGCCACATGACCACGGAAATGTCTTCGGATAGTGCTGGCTCTCTGGCTTGGAAACGGAGATGAGCACCACTCCCTAGAGTCGTATTCAACTAGCTTTCGAGCAAGGGAAACCTTTACCTTTACTTTTTTTAATGCACTTAGACAAGGTGCTCATGGTCCAAGTCATAGGCGTGCCATTTCCTACTTCTTCCACAGACAAGCTAGGTCTTTGTCAAGAATCTCGTACACATATTTAGAAATGGTGGGGCACTTTCTCGTTTTAAAAAAGAGAATATGGAACTACACACAGGTATGTGACATGCACAGCATGTGTATGCGCACGCATCACCACCCTTAACATAACATTAGTGACTCCACGTGACTTTCCAAGAAAGAGGTCCCCACATCCTAGAATGGTTTCCTTCACCTTTTACACAATGGTGAACACTTCACGGAGTTTGCAGTGAATGTCTTCGGTGTGGAAGGAGCAAAGTGCACACAGACCACTTCTTTTACTTTCAGCTACCGGTCTTTTTTCTAAATCACCTAACGTAATGCAACTTATGCCGTACATGGTTTTTTTGAACTGTGCAAATTTTCTTTAAATACAGCACTTCCCCGCCCCCACCCCGAATGGCAATTTCTTTTTGAAGCCCTGGAAAATGGTGAGGTATAAGATGTTATAAACAGAGAAGCAGAACTGGAAGTGGGGGTTAAGGCAACAGCTCAGTAGCTACTGAGCGGTTCGCACAGTGGGCGGTAAACCTACCTGCAGCTGGTTGAGCAAGAAGCAGTCGGTGGAAGAATCTTCGGCAAAGCCGCTGCTGTCGGAATGCTGACTTGCAGATCGTAATAGCTGATCTAGGGGAGAGAAAGAAGGGCGGGAGGCAAGCATAAATATGTAAGCCACGTCTTGTGAACCGACACATTCGCAAGTCATATTTGGGCATCAAGAGGATACATACATTTATTTGTCAAATACAGGTTTCTAGCCTTGTCCCAAAAGCTTTGAAATGACTATTAAATAAAAGAAGAGGTCTGACAGGACACTATTTCTGAAATATCACTGCAAGCACCAAAAGAGCAAAAGGTAATGGTTTTCCTTTCTGCATGGAGTTACAAGACCTAACTTGTAGCTGCAGTGGCTCAAGTGGTTAAGACGCTGAACTGCAGGCTGTGGAAGGTCGGTAGTTCAGGAGTTCGAGACCCGAGTTGCCGCATGACGGAGTGAGCTCCCGTCTCTAGTTCCAGCTCCTGCCAACCTAGCAGTTCGAAAGCAAGAAATTGCACGTAGATAAATAGGTACCACTTCAGTGGGAAGGTAACAGCGTTCCGTGTGCCTTGGTGTTTAGTCATGCCGGCCACATGACCACAGAAACATCTTCGGATAGCGCTGGCTCTTCGGCTTTTAAACGGAGATGAGCACCTCAACCCTAGAGTTAGATTCGACTGGCTTTTGAGCAAGGGAACCTTTACCTTTTTACAAGACCTAATGAGCAAGGAAGGAAGGAAGGAAGGAAGAGGGAGGGAGGGCAGGAGAGAGACCAACAGAAAGAGAAAGAAAGAGACAAACAGAAAGCAAAAAAGAAAGAAAGGGGGGGAGAGCGGGAGAGAAACAGAAAGAAAAACAGAAAGTAAGAGACAAACAGAAAGAGAAAGATAGAAAGAGCGGGGGAGAGAGAGGAAAAGACAAACAAACAGAAAAAGAGACAGAGACACAGAGAGGGAAAAGCACACTCTCAGGAAGTGTCCTACTTGTGAAATTTCTACTGGCAATGTGGGATAGCAGCCATCGTTCACATTTCTTGTTTCCTGTTTTGGGGGAGAGGGAAACATTATTTATTCAAATTTCACAGGAGTATCATGTGGGTTTATGCAGGCACTGCTAATTTTCTGAGCTGTCCTTAAGTGCACCGAGCCTCCAAATTCAGAGCATTCTTGAGCCTCAGGAAAACAGACCTTCTCGACTGACATACACAGCGCACCAGCCATGCGAGGTGGCCATCCATGCACCTGAGGACTCTGCAAAGTATCTGCCAGGCCACCATGGTGGTGCTGCTAGTGGAGGTAGAAAGTGCCAGAAATTTACAGCCAACTGATGGCAACCCCGTAGGGCTTTCGAGACAAGAGAAGAACAGAGGTGAGTTTGCCATTGCCTACATCTGCAACCATGGACCTCCTCGGTGGTCTCCCATCCATGTACTAACCAGGCCCAAGCCTGCTTAGCTTCCAAAACCTGATGAAATCAAGCTAGCCTGGGCCTTCCAGGTGACTGACGGAGTCAGAGAGTTATACCAGCATGATGTACCTAACTCTCCATCAACTTCATTGAATCTTACTTGTCTAGCAAGGATCAATTTAAGCACTTTAGGTGCGTGCTAAGTGAAGGATCTGTTGAATTTGGGTCAGATCCTTACTGTACAAATAAATACTGGGAAAGTTGCCCAGTCCCAATAAAATAACAAGCATGCTATGTCTGGTAATGAGGATACTTTAGAGTAGATCTTACACTATGCTGTTGTGGCGGTTCTCCCATGATTCCGTTTCATGTTGCTATGGTAATGCCTGTACCTGGGAGGTCATGTGGGAGAAGTCAATGGCACAGCTATGCCCCATAGCGCTGTAACCTGCTGCTCAGCACCGGAGTGGAGTATAACCACCACACTGGACAGTCCCAGATGACTTCCAGCATTCAGAACCCGTTACCAGACTAGCATAGTAAAGTACATAGCCACCAGAAAGCTACCTCACTTGCACTATAAAAACTGGACTTGGGCATATAACTAGTGACAAACAGCTTGAACAAAAATTACGGAACGCTGCCTTCCGCGACGATTCTCTTTGCTTCCTCCCACCTCCGCCCCAGCAAACCGTGTCCCACCAGTAATGCATATGAAATATCGTAGCCAAGAATACTTGGCTACAACATCAGTTATTGAGGCTTAGGTTTTCACTTGGAGCAGATTTCCACAAAGTATTTCCATATGCAGATCCGCAACTGGGCCAGGGAAGCATAACGCTAGAGCCATGGGACGGCCACATTTGTATATCCTTTCCTTTCAACGTGTGGTGGACAGCACTACTATTGGATGAAAAATTCCTACGTTAGGAAGCCTATTCCCATATGGGAATTTATTTATAAATATACAGTGCTGGAATCAGTTCTGAGTTACTCCACCAAAGATATTACCCATCTGTAAATGATTCTGGTGTGGCTTTATTTATTGAAATTTACCCCTTCATCTCTCTGCTGTCTTCAGGACAATCAATTTCAGAATATTAGTGCCTTTGGGTTAGCGACTGTATTTTCACAAAGAGAAAGGACCAGACTCCAACTTTTTTTAAAAAGGGGATTTCTATAAGTTTTATTTATTTCATCTTTCTCCCCTAATGGGGACCCAAAGCGGCTTACATCGTTCTCCTCTCTTTCATTTTATCCTCACAACAACCCTGTGAGGTAGGTTAGGCTGAGAGTGTGAGGCTGGCCCAAGGTCACCCGGCGAGCTTCCAACGCATGAGTGGAGATTCAAACCTGTGTCTCCCACATAATAGTCCAAGACGACTGAGAGATCGCACAGCAAGTTGGTATCTCTCTAGCAAAGTTTATCCCACCCTTTGTCCAAGGAGCTCAGAGCTGCAGACACAGCTCGGCTTCCCCCATATTATCATCGCAGCAACCTTGCAAGGTAGGTTAGGGTTAGGCAAGGAGGAAGTGATTGGACTAAGGTCACCTAATAAGTTTTGGTGGCTGAGCAAGGATTTGAACCAGAGTCTGTAGCCCAACACTATAATCACTATACAGCACTGGTCCCCAGAACCTCCACTAGCACGGCAGAGTCTTGATCATTATCATAATCTAGAATCACAGAGTTGGAAGGGGCCATACAGGTCATCTAGTCCAGCCCCCTGCTCAGTGCAGGATCAGCCTAGGGCATCCCTGAAAAGCAGTTGTCCAGTCGCTGCTTAAAGACTGCCAGTGAGGGGGAGCTCACCACCGCCCTAGGCAGCTGATTCCATTGTGGCCCAATTCTTACTGTAAAAAGGTTTTCCCCAATATCCAGCCGGAACCTTCCCACCCTTAGGTTAAACCCATGATTGCGAGTCCTGTCCTCTGTGCCAACAGGAACAGCTCCTGCCCTCCTCTAAGTGGCAGCCCTTCAAATACTTAAAGAGATCAATCATGTCTCCCCTCAACCTCCTAGTGGTGTATGGAAAAATGATGGCTTGGGATGCAGATGTGGGGGGGGGGGGGGAAACACAGGGCCATGCCATTGAGTCACAACTGATGCATGGTGAGTCCAATCATAGGGGGCTCATAAGAAAATAAGAGCAGCCCCAATGGATCATGCCAATGGTCCATCTAGTCCAGCATCCTGTCTCCTACAGTGACCAGCCAGTTTCTCTGAAGGGTCAACAACAGGGCATAGAGGCCCAGACTGTCCCCTGATGCTGCCTCCTGGCTCTGGGATTCAGAGGTTTGGCGCCACTGAACGTAGAGCTTCTCCCGCCCCCCTGCCCCCCCCCGTCACCATGGCTAGTAGCCACTGATAGACTTATCCTCCATGAATCTATCTAATCCCCTTTTAAAGCTGTTTATTCCTGTCGACATCACTACAACCTCCGGCAGCGAATTCCACATTTTAATCACTCTGTTCAAGGAAAGAGATGAGCAAGAGGTGGTTTGCCATTGCCTTCTGCTACATAGCGACCTTACTCAGAGCTCTCTCAGCCCCACCTACCTCACAGAGTGTCTGTTGTGGGGAGGGGAAGGGAAAGGAGTTTGTAAGCCGCTCTGAGACTCCTTTGGGTAGGGAAGGGCGGGGTATAAATGCAATCTCTTCTTCTTCTTCCTTGGTGGTCAAGTTTGAGGAATTAGATACGTTCCACATTATTCATAGGTGGTTAAGCCACAAAAATTGGTAAGCCTTAACATTATGCCAGCTGGATGTCCCAGAAACAGCTTGGAATACATTTTGACCTCCTGGTTGATCTGGTAGCGATACAAAAGGCAGGGAAAGCAGAGGAACTGAACCCTGTGGCCCACGCTCATCAGTGATGAAATATGAGGAACTGTGTTTTATAGAAACAGACAGGCCTCATTGACTGCAGTTGCTCTTGCAAACAGCCAGGTCAAACATTCAGTGTTTTCAGAAGGCAAGAATTTGGTCGTAGTCACTTCCCCTGCCTGCTGCCTCAGTGGACGCTGCCAAAGAACAAAACCAACCCCCCCCCCAGCCTATACTGAAATCCAACTTTTGAATTAGGCACAGAGGAGAATGTATGACTGGTTCCAAATGCGGCATACTGAACTCAGCGTGGACTGGCTTCCAAAACACTGTGGTAATGGCCGAAATGATATCCAGTTGCAGTTGTGTGCTAACAGCCAAATGCTGCGATGAGCATACAGAGAGCAGTTCCATGCACACTCCACTTGAGTATGGACTTGCTTTGCAAAGCCCACATCAGAAGCATGATACATATATTTGAAGGGGAAGAAAATGCACTCTTGGGAGAGGGGGATAATTCTTCTGGGGCAAGATAAGTTCTGCTTCACCCTGACCTTGAGCTTCTGCTGCTGACAAACCTTGCATCAACATCAGACCAGATTTCTACTTCCTCACTCCTAAGGGCCTCTCCCTCCCACAGCACTGATCACGCTTAAACATTTACACATCCTCCCTCTTTTAAAAGTTTCGGTGTATGCTGAACGAAGAGACAAAGAACTGCCCCAATGCATTTAACGCAGCTGAATACTCCACTAATGAAAGACAAGAACTGGTAAATCTCCAGAATCCCCCAGAAATAAGCAAAGGGACATGTTTGGAAGCCACAATTTTGAACAACTCTCTACTGGTTCCATC